AAAATGCTTAAGGCAGTAATGTACAAAACATATCTTTAAATGTTGGGTTGATCTCTAAATGATCTTTAAATAATTTTCTTATATTTGAGGATAATTAAGATTATAAATGTCTTTTCTTATCAAATCCACCTTTTAATTACAGATAATTGATGAGAAAAAATGAACCAAAGTTAAGTATAATAAAGGAAGATAATTAATGGCACATAGAGGCACTAAACTGTTTTAACTTTGGTTATAGATAACAGCAACCTTTCTCAGTTTACAAAATAGTATTTCCAAAACAATGTTTTTCTCATCGTTTCAACTGTGGGATATGGAACAAGATATAGGACATTATAGTAAGTGATGGGAAACTGTCTAGACTCTGACTGACCCCAAACTGAACATCGATACTCTTCAGATATTCGGAGGGGAAACCATACTCCCGCATCTAGAATGACATACAAGACTCTTCCCTAATAGAGACCAGTCCTAATGCATTCGGTTCAATAGGAGTAAATCCATGCACTTTGCTAAATGGGAACTCACTGTGAGAGATGAGCTACTTTTCCCATATAGTACCCACATGTATTTATTGCACGATGCACATTCCTCATACATGTATGTACAGATTGTATTTCTGGCATTCCAATGAAATCTACATGTATATGTACATTTGTACATTACATGAAATGTACAGCCTCATGAAGTGGGTTGTATTACGTCTATGGTTGTATTGAGGGTTTTTGCTAAATCTTCGGCTGGGAGCAAGAAGGGAGTTAGCTCACATTTTGCATTGAGTTACATTATACCCTTCTGACTCTTACCAGATGACTTTGTCTGTTTGGAGCCAGAAGGCCAATAACTCATATTCTTTGATACAGAGATAATGCCCTTTTTTGCTCTCAATAGACAATACATGCCTGCATGGAAGAGGATTTAGATTCAATATCTTTGCAAGCAAAGTACATCCTGTATAACCTATTTTCTGATCGCAATGTGCCACTTTCGTTTTCAATTGTATTGTATGTGAAGAATGCAGTGGTGTTCCATCTGTGTATGTTCAGATCTACTCCTGATGTTATCAGTGTTCATTAACATACCATATATCACCTACTCTCCTTCTCTCTCTTTTCTTTACTTATCTTTTTATCCTTCTATCCCTTTCCCCATCCCCCTCTTTAAACCCCTCCTCTTCATATCTCTACTTCTCTGTTCTCTTTCTCCCTTACTCCCTCTTTCTCTCTCTCTTTCTCTCTCTTTCTCATTCTCTTCTTCTTTTTCACCTATATATTTGTTTATCTTTCTATCCCTTTCCCCATTCCCCTCTCTACTTCTCTGTTCTCTTTCTCCCTTACTATCCATCTATATCCTTCTCCATCTCTCTCCCTTACTCTCTACCCATCCTTTTATCTCTTTCTTCATTATGTTTTCACACTTTCCTGTTCTGTCTCTCTGTACCGGTATGTTTCTGCTTCTGTGACCTTCCATAAACGTTTTCATCTATGACTCTCGTTAAGGGGAAAAAAATCAAATAGAAATCAAAGCCTCAAAGGTTTATAATTTATAAAATCTGAAGTGAAATTGCTTTCTCAACCATAATCACATTTCCAACCGCACAACACCTGGTGGTGATTAGTTTTATCATAAATTCTGCTTATTTTATTGCAAAGGAAACCCATCTTCAATGTAGATGAATATTTTTCAAGATTATTTTTAAAATGACGATGGGAATAAATATAGTTTCATACTAAATATTTGCAATGAAAATACAGGTAATGAAGTGTCAGTGATGACTGTAAATAAAAGTAAAATACAGAACAGAATAATTCATCTGTCTTCCCAAAGATCAACAGCCATTATAAAATGTCCTTTTCTTTCCTTATTAATTCTCTTTATTAAAAAAATAGTGCATTAAAGAGGAAAAGACATGCTTTAGATAGATCAGCATCATATAACTCCTGGCAAATTGGGTCTTGAAAAGGGAGCATGTTTATAATTGAGGGGACAAAATGGCCTTTATTGGTCCCACGCACTCTCAATGATGTATGATCAGATGGTGGTAAAGCTATCATGTCGTTGTTAATGAACATGCAAACGACAAGTTGGGACCGATCGACTCTCTAGTCCTGCACCGTACTAAGCCGTGGAGTGACAGCGAACCAGCTCAGGCTCATTAGCATTCAAGGTCGCCTCAAAAGTTCAGCTAAGTTAAACGCTGCGAAAAAGAACGTGACCAAAATTTTAGACTTGATCGAGTGAGGAAGGCTCAGGAAGATACCTGAGCTTTAGAGCTGTTTTGTCATTTAGCCGTTGAAATATGATAATTTTGGGCAGGAGGTTGCAATCATTTGAAGAGAAACACATGTAAGAACTAACATAGCATATGTCCCAAGGCTTAGAGAGTTTAATACATTTACTTTTCACAATATCCTCCCTGAAGAAAGTCAGGATGTATATTACAAATATCTGGGAATACAAGTACCTTACGATTAAAGTATGACTTCTAGTAAATTCAGAATTTAAGATTACAATTTTAACCTGCTTGCATGACTGAAATATTCAAATTCAAAATGGGACTCACTAGAGCCTTAATATCAATAATCATTTTTATGGGAGATTCTGTGAGATAGTTGCGGCAAGGGGTGAATTAAAAAATAAAACAGTTTATCTTTTATCCTGAATGGACCAACCTTTTGAGGAAAAAAGGTAATGAAAATATTATGTTTTTTATATTGAACACGTCATACCGTATATACTTTGATTAAAGACATTCACAGACTCATATCCTCTTAAATATTGTTAAAAAATATAGAAGAATAACAAAATGACGGCATGGGATTACTATTTTACCAGTCATAAGCACATGGTATTCCATGTGACCACTATTTTCTCGAAACATGACAGACCATGTGACTCATTTTTTTCTCCTGTCATGACATAGCATATTTTGAAACTTTCAAGGTGTGTTGCTGGAGCTTAGTTCAAACTAAGTTATGAAAATCAAATCTGAGTTGCTTGATTCTCTGTTCTATTTTTGAAAAGCCGCTAAATTCATCACAAGGCATGATTTGACATGATATACAATCCAAGACCTTACAACACAACCACATTTTAGAAGAGATATGAGCATAGACTGCCGTAGAGTCACATGGAATTCAATTTCTTGTATGAGTACTAAATAGCTCATGTGAATATGAGTCATAAGCTTAATTGTTAAAATACATGTAGCCACTAAAGTTTCTTTTTTCATCTTCAAATAATCAAATTTCAGTTAAAACTGCGAACTATAGATACCACATTCAGAAGGCCATCCTTTCAAAAACCTTCCTCAAATAAAAGAAAGTCTAATGAAAAATATCAGCTTTCTGATAAAGCATTGAAGCATTTTTCATGAAGAATACACAATTGTCAACAATGATGATGATAAATATAATGACCCCAAATTAATGGTGTCTCAAAAACAAAGCTAATAATCAAACAAATATCTTGAGCTGACGAGAAATTCCAGAATACTAGTACAAGGGCATATTGAACATGTAAAATTGTTAAATGAGAGTCCTAAAATCCTACTTTCCCATTTCCTTTTATATTATAGTAAAGCCTATTTATACACACCCTAGCTCAATGATCTATCACACTTCTCAACACCCAAAGATAATATTTCGCTTGGTCGCTAAATTCTCAAGGGCCATTGTAGCAAGTGCAGAGATGATTTCATTACAGCACCAAGGCTCTAACTCCGCCCATCCATCACTACCTCCGAGTTGCTAAGCAACGGAGGTAAAACAGGTCACGTCTTCACTCCCCAGTTGTTGTCCTTTTGCACCTTGACAGAGGTAAGCCCCACACGCACACACCTGCTATCGTAGGAAACCATCGTTTCTTTAAATGAAATCCCAGATTGCATGAATCGTAAACCAGGAGATTTCCCCCGCTTCTTCCACGTCATTTGGAAATATGATGACGAAAGCCGGGATTAACGTCTCTTTCTATGATTCTACAGCTGACGAGGAGTCACCCTCTTAAATCCTTCTCTCGTTCCATCCATAATCCTAATTCCACTCCTACACCCCTCCTACACCCCTCCTATACCTCAATAATAAATTGAGATCTCAAGCTAAATCTGTGCATGAGTAATAGGGAAGTTATCAAACATCCAATTTCAAATAGTATGAGTAAAATTTGAACAGTAATCCCTGTGGATTGGCAATGTTAATCTACTGCAAGGATATAAAATCTGTAAATTCCAGCTCTAACGACCCTAAACACCCACTAATGTTTATCCAAGGTTGTCATTCGAACATTTCTAATCAATATCTCATTAAAACATAGAATTAAAATTTGATGCTATATAAACATCTCTCCAAGTTCCATGTGTCCAGGCAGTATATGTTACTTAGTAGAAATTCAATGGAGAAATTCAATAGCACAGATAAAGACCTACGAGGAATAGTGTGTGTAGTGGAACTCTGATATATATACCATATCTGCAGTCCGATCTGCAGCACTTCAAAACTTTGTAAAAGCGTTTATAACACGCTCACAAGGACTTTCAAAAAATTAACCTCAGGCAATTTCAATAGCCTAGTTTATCGCCTATAGAAATGTACTAACATGACAGTAACATATTATGTAATCTAAACACAAGTTTGATTGGCAATGGGTAATACAATAGAGTATTGAAATTGCCCTTTAGTTGATTTTTTGAAAGTCTTTATGATCGTGTCTCATGTACGCCAATCTCTCATCCTCGGAAAGGAGGGCCCTGGTTGCAAATACTTACAAGCATACCCATGCTTTCTTAGAGGTCAGGTTAACAAACCATCAAACCAAATCAATCAAAAGTAGTCATCAATCTGCAAAAAATCGCAGTTACTCCATAAGTCTAAAAAGTTTGATTTTATTCAAGTCTTTCCTTTCTGTACATCTCACCATCAGCCAAAAAAACCCACTATCGCTTCACATCCTTTCATACTTCCAAACATTCTGTTCACATGAGGTCGGAAACTTCAACATACCTTGTGAGGAGATGTATTGGTGTTGGGATGGTTGGGGCTCTCGTAGATGCCTGCCAGGAGCTTGAGACGGTTGCCGGGGGCGATGCCCTGTCGTCCATTGAGGGAGCATAGCCACCACCCCTCCAGACCACCGGTGTTCTGCTCCAGAACGGTCACGATGTCCCCCTTGCGGAACGCTAGCTCATCGGGAGCTTCCGCAGTGTTGTCGTACAGAGCCTTGGCAAGTACATGCTGTAAGATTAAAAAAGAAGAAGAATATAACAAATTAATATTTAGATCAGATTACAACAGAATTTAATGAAACATGCCTAAAATATTTCATACATTTTGTTTTTCTTCTTAGCAGTCAGGTAAAACAAACCAAGAATAACAAAAAGTTATGATAGAAATTTCAAATAAAAGGAATTATCACTGACATTTCACCAATCAATCCATATCAGAATATTTGAGAGTAGACAGAAATAATACATCAAACAAATTTGATTACTTTCATTGCCAATGAATTTAGCTTACTCTCTCTCTCCCTTTATCCGTTTCTCTTCTTCTATTTCTATCTCTCTCACTTGTTTTCTCTTTCTTCTGCATAGTTGCATACAATATTGAAATTGATAATTATTTATTTTCCCTTTCTTTACATTCATCCCAATTTATTTTAATTTTTTTTTTTTAAATTCATCTATTTAAATGTCTCTCCAACCTATTCTCATTCCTACCAAACAAAAGAAACATTGAGAGTGTACTGAAATTTTCATGAATTTGCAAACAGAAGAAAATGAAATTGCTTTTCAGCTGCATTGTATCTGACAGGGTAAATGGGGACCAATATGAGAAAAAGAGGGGAGAAAGATAGAGAGCTCTCGATGGGGCGATCTTTGGAGGGAGAATATAGAGGGATTTATAAAATGAGGAATGATGCTGCAATCGGGCAAGCGACCTTTTGTCTGCGCCATCTCCATATGAATATTGGACTGCACTGAAATTGACATTCCCGCAAGGCCACATTCATAACTCTTCAATAGGCCGTACATTAAGCAGGAACTTGCATATAACATCTACTGTGAGCCAGAAAGACGTTTGGTCATATCGTTTTTGTACAGTTAACGACCTTCTGGCTTTGGGAAAATAAAAGTTGAGTGCAAAAACTTGATGCCTGCATATTACCGAGAGAGATCACATTTGTCCAAATGTAAAGTAGCTTCATGCAAAGCTTTCAAAACATAATTTTGTTATTGAATATTCACAGTGCTCTATATGAAATGTATTTTGTTCTATCAATCATGCTTACAATGTAGAGTTGTTTACTTCAACATAGTTTTTACATAAAATTCCCTCTTTTTCCATTTAGAAATAAAGTATTTACTTCCCTTGTGCTGTAAAAACTGTAACATAATAATTTTGTGCCTTGAAACAACTTAATAGAGACAACTCTGCATTTTTTTTGCAAACAGATTTACTTTGACATTTGTACGGTTATCTTTATTGTATGTTTTGTGAAGAAGAAAAAATGCAGCAAAGTCAGGATATTCAAATAGTAGGGTGTGGATCATGTATACAAAACATTACAGATTAAACATATAAAAGATAAGTCACTTCAGGTGGAAAGAACACAGGTTGAAGTAAGATTTTTGTTTAATCAAATTTGTTATCAATTTTTATTTGAGGTTCTGATATCTAACTTTCTGTAGATTCCTGTAAAATCTTATAAGATTTTTTTTTAAAGGAGGCAAACTCATTTGGAATAGTAACTAAGTGAGTTTTATCTCTAAGTGACAAAGCAGTTCATCACTCTACATGAATAGAATTTCACTCAAAGTCATCTGAAGATTGTTTGGAATCGTTAGGAGAACAATACAATCAATCTACCCACTCAGGTTTCTACAATTATACGATCCTCAGAGTTTATCTCCAGACCACTTCCACTTCAAGAGAATAACAACACCCACACCGATTTAACAAGTAGGTCTTTCAACTCAACAAAATCAGAAAAACAAATTATCTCGTACCTTGCTCTACAAGACCAAAACAAGAAATCATTAAACAATGCGACACAAACTCAGTAGGAAACAAATAAACATTTGGAAAGCTGCTTGTAGAAGTCCTTAGCAACCTGCCTAGCACACCTTAACCGCAAGGCAATTGTTGAATGGGTATAAATAGCATGGATTTGAGGGGAGACGTCAAAACATTTTAACAGAAGAATAGATCATGTTTACTTTCTTGGAAAAACCACCTCTTATACAACTGGATAGATGATGTGATTTGTAAATTTGTCAGAATTTGCTGATTCTATTTGTTCTGCCAAGTTGGTGATTGTCATCACTGCTTGACGTACATGTACGTCGACCTCTTGGAGATCGATGCTATGCTTTGGTATGCCACCCTCATGTTTACCATCTAGATTTCAGGTGAATATATTCAGATCTAATAATGCAATTACCGCATTTTGTGGAAATCAGATTACCTAAATTCAATGGAGTATATAAATTTACACATGAATGGAAAAGAACAACACACCTGCTTGGATAAATTGCAGCAAAATAAAATCAAACAAGTTCTGAATGAGCTGAGATCTCTTTTAGAATTTAGAAATAGCACAAGTTCAAACAAACATTCTTTTCCTTTCAAGTTAGGGTCATCAACATTTCTAGGAAACTGTACTTCCTAACCTCTAAGACTATTTTAGGTTGGACCACATTTGCATTGAAAGTATTAAATGTGTTTCATTTTATCCCCTGATAAAAGAATAAGAAAAGTAGTAACATTAAATTATATAAAACCACATCTTCGCTATGTCTGATTAAAATGAGATTCTCAAACAACAATTAAGCAGAGAAAATAAACTTTTAATTCACTTTGAGACCACAATTAAATCAATTATCCTACCACCAGCCAGAGACGCAAAACCACCAAGTCCTCATATTCTGGACATTGCACTCCTTAACCAACGATATTGATTCTAGGCAGAAATGAGAAGTATTTTTAAGGCATCGATCAACTCACCACATGTGCATAAATATCCCGAATATAGTAAACAAAACGAGTTCCATGATGAACCATTGTGATACCAAGATGCAGTCCCGCACAGCAGGAGCAAATTATCTAAAGGAGAACAGCAACACCTCTTCTGAAAAACAAATTGCACCCTCAGAAGATGACAGAGGTATCTGGAATCACTCCAACCACCTTCATCCACTCTTAGACAATCCTCAACACAAGATAGGCACCTGCTGCTAAACACTTGCTTGACTCTGTTCCAAATATCTCCTGTTTGTCCCGCAAAAGGAGAGATGTCAACAGGCAAAACTTGTGCCAACCGCAAGACAGGAGCTTCATATTTATACGTCAGGGCGGGGTGCGATCGAGTTCACTGTCCAAAGACAAACGCACACACTGTACATGAACTGTCACAGAGCTCGAGCACAAATACACACAGACAGCCGTACATTACGCAATGTGTGCAGACCTACACGCAAACACAGACTCTCGAAACGAAGTACATCCTATCGCCGTCACTTAACGACAAATCCCTCATTCTAACTCGTTTAGGCAATATTTGATTGTTATCAGGAGTTCCTTAAAAAGGTCTAACGCAAACCAAACGGGAGAGATTTAGATCTTCTTCTTCCCCTTACCCTAGGTCATTCTTGAGAATCTGACGTCACAAATATCGCTCTCTTTCTCTCTCTATCTTTCTATCCTCTCCTCTTTTCCTTCTAAATCGCTTTACAAGATTATGCTAATATCATTCTTATAATCCCTATTACTACTTCAACATTGTCAATTTACACTTTGCAGTCAACAACTTTACTCATTGTTATTTCATCTTCCTTCCTTTTCATCCTAAATGAAAATCCTCCAATTCTAAATGACAGACTCTCTCCTCCTTTCATACAAATCAATTTATTCATGTCATTTCTAAAAGCTACTAATCTGTTTATTCATTCACATATCCTTCACATATAACACTTTCTTGTATTCTCTCTGCCCGTCTCTTCATCTGTTCTTGTTTCTACTCCTCCCCTTTTCATCCTCTCTCTTTGTCGCCCTCTTTCTTTCTATTTGATGTCTCAACTCTCAAGACATTGTGAAAGTTTGACTGTCCTTCGATCCAGAGCCCCTGTAAGCCATCCCACTTTCTCTCACCCACTGTCAAATAGCTAAAAGCATCCTGAAAAGGGCATGTCTTTTCTGAAGGAAACTGTTCAATGTAGCTGCTACCTCAGCCCCCCCCCCCCCTTCAGTGTGGGTGTAAACAGGTATGAACACAGAACAGGCAAGCGTAACATCCGCAACAAATTGGGTGACATTCACGAGCGAAAGTCCTGATCGTCAGTCATGGACAAGACCTGGTGATGATGATGATGATGATGCACATATAAAATCTATGAATTGCCTGAGGTTGCCTGACAACTAACTGTTTGGGGCAAAACATCAACAAGTTTGTCTCGCATGTTTCTTTCATGTTTGAGGTGGATAAACAGAAAGTGCTGTCAAACACAAACAAAACTAAAAAGAGTCTGAGAAGTCGCTGGTTCTTAAACTGAGAGTGAAAAGTTCAACAAGAAGTGATTTTTTTTCTCACAGAAAAGGGTAGTTCTCAAACATTTCCTCCCTGTAAAATTCAATTTCGTCAATCTTATCTGCTCGATTGATAAATTAAGGATGACAATTTGAGTGACAAGTAACATGTGAATCACTACCCACTGGCAAACTATTTTTTGGTCCAGATCCAAAAGGCCGATTTACACATCCATATCAACAAAGATCTGCACACGAGACATATATACACTGTAATACTAGAAACTTTTGAGTTCTTGAAATGTTTGCAAACATTGAAAGTGATTCAGATGCATGAAATGATTTAATCATAATTGACACAACACTTAAATTTTGCAATTTATGAAAGATTCTCGTCACAAAAATGGTAATTCTTAATAATTTGTAAAAGTTCCAATTTGCAAAAAGTTTCTGGTTATGCGATAGTAGTTTGCACCCTACCCTCTCTCTCTCTGTGTATCTTTATGTCTGTCTTTCTGTCTGCCTCTGTCTCTCCCTCTTTTTCTTATTCCTCGCCGTTTGTTAGTCTGTTACTCTCTCTCTCTCTGTTTCTCTCTCTCTCTTCCTAATAACCTCAACATTATTTTTCTACTCTTTTACCTAATTCTCAATTTATCTTTCCTCTATCCCCTTCCTTATTTATTTCTTTCTTTCTTTCTTCATACACCAGAACCTTAATCCAACAACAACTGTCATGACCTGAATGCACTTCAAGCGACTGTCACACACGATAGATAGCTGAATCACGTTAGTATGCCGTCAGCACATTAGACCCTGTATCCTCAATGTCCGAGAAATCGCGCTGCGCACCGGCTATCGCCGCAACATCTCTACGCTCACCTTCCTGTGACGCAAACACGCAGCTCCTTGGGACGTTTGGACAAACTTTCTTGTCGTGCCATCACCGTGGTTAATAATACATCCAGGAAGTGTCTTAAGTTCACCAGCGTTGTCACCCAAAAGTATCTCCTGACGATCAACAAACCAACGCCGAAAATAAAGAATGAACGCAGGAGGAAGCAGGCCTCAATTTACACAGCAATTCCCAGAAGGATCTTTAAATGATTTTGTTTTTTTATGTGGAAAGGCTTTTGAAAAATGGGACGAAAGAATTCAAGTTAATAACATCTCAATGTGAATAGAAATACAAAATGGGGAGCTTGTTTACTGTGTTCACAACTTCTCAAATGTTGCAAATTAAAAATTTTAGTCGGTAGATCTTCTGTTCTTCTTCTTCCTGCTTTAATCCAGTCAATACATTAATTTTTGTCAAACATGTCATTATGGGTTTGTGGTGAGTTGGTAACATAGGTGACATGCTGTTCATATTGATTTAAAATTTGAAATTTAACACAAGAATGTAACCAACAAACAGTATATTCTTTCTATATTTGCAGTACCATATTTTAAAGTTATGTGTATTTATCAGGAAATGCACAAACATGATGCAAATTGCAACAGTGTACACAATTGTTAATACATATTTGTTATGGTGTTCATCCAATTTTAGCTATACTCATGGAAGCCAATTGGTTTAGACACTGACATGAACACACCATCCAATAAATGTGATAAATATGGTATAGAAAGTTTGTATGAAAAAGATAAAATCAAGTTCGAGTATGAAGACAGAAATTTGACAACTTAAGGAAAAGATTCATGGCTACGGACATGAAATTAAAAAAATCATAAATAAGAAACCATCTGGAAAAAGAGTAATGAAAAGAGAATAAAAAGCGTAAAATAAATAATTTCTGTGTGAACACATCCCCATACATCAACAGCACTGCAAGGAAGCCATTACAATCTTGTGGTTATGTGAGAGGAAACCCTAACATTCTACCTACCAGTCCCTACGTAGATACCAACAGCCATAGACAACATCTACCCAAATTAGGACAACTTCTGATGTCATAATGCTTTCGTCTTCAATTCATACACATCCTGATATGGTCTGTTTGGAGCCAGAAGGGCGTGAGGTCATACTTTCTTGCACAGAGTTCACTGCCCTACTGGCTACAAGCAGATCACTGATACCACCTATTGGTAGGCATAAGGGCATAAGTTCAAACCATTTTACACAGAGTAACAGCCTTCTGGCTCAAATGGATGATATTGTCTGTTTTTAGCCAGAAGGGTATTTACGCTGTGTAAGAGAGTTCATGTATTCGCAGCTTTTTAACGCCCTTCTGGCTACAGCTGCTACACACAGATTATATCATCTAATCGGAGCCAGAAGAGCATTGATTCAAACCATTTTACACAGAGTAACAGCCTTTTGGTTCTAAATAGATGATATTGTTCGTTTGGAGCTAGAAGAGCATTAACTCGGTGTACGATATAATGACATAACACCCTTCTGGCTACATAAAGAGGTTCTACTTGGGGCGAAGAGGGTGTTAACCTTTATACTTGAATACAGACTTAAAGCCCTTCTGGCTCTCCCAGATAATATCTCCTTCATTCCTGGTAAGATAGCGCCATCATTAACCTAGAGTCTCGCCCGGCTGGCCGTAGGGTCGTTATCTCTTAATTAACGATAACCTCGTCTTTGACCAGGCCGTCAGCTCGTCACAGGAACATCAACAACAACCACACAAAAAAAAAAATGCATGCTCTTAGACTAATGTTAGTTTGCAGGCAAAAACTCTTGTCGGTCAGTGTGTATGACAGTGTCTGCACTGTAACTAGACTACAGAAGGCTCTGTTCTTTAGCCGCACTTGAAGCAGCCAGAAACTGTTAGATATAGGCTCTACTCAAAGCTTTAGGAATTGAGGGGAGGTGTAAGAATTAGAGTCTGTGCTTGCAGGCAAGGCTAATGTCTAAAAATAAATTTGATTTACAAGAATTGTTTTATTTGCAGACAAATTAAGAAATGTCAAATTCAAATGCAAGAAAACAGTTGTTGTTATAATTACAAGTGATTAAGTCAAAATAACCTCACTACTAAGAATTCATCCCTGAACTAACATTGATAACAGCAATCAGTTTTCCTGTCGATTACAGTTTCATTGACGGTTGCCGCAGACAGTCCGATAACCCAAACTTTGATTTCCCCGAAACCATTTCAAGAATGTCTGCACATGACTTTAGCGATGAGTAAGAGTAAATAGTAAATGCTCAAAGGTCCATTGCAGAAAAACATTCAAAGATATTCCAATTGCTGTGCTTATACATCCCCAGTGTAAGCTTTAGATTCTACACGTATCGCACGTCACAAATGCTGTAAAAAATTAATTATTGAAATCCCCCCTAGGACTGTAAATGCTTTTCTGGTTTAATGAATGTCGATGACTATTCAGATGTGCGATATGTGTAGAATTAAAAGTAAATCGTAAATGCTCAAAGGTACATTGCAGAAACAATCAAAAAAATATTCCAGTTGCTGTGCTTACATCCCAAGTGTAAAGCTTTGATTCTACACGTATCGCACGACTGCATGCTGTAAAGAATTAATTATTGAAATCCCCCCCCCCCCCCCAACTGTAAATGGTTTTCTGGTAAGCGATTGTCAGTGAAAAATGTTGAATATTTTCATGGGGTCATATGAAAGCGCACTCTCAGCTGGTCAAAATTTTATGGAGCATTGTAGGCCTATTTCTTAAGTGGTAAGCATTGCTGTTTTTGTATAATACCTGAGTAAATATACAGGAAACAAGAAGAAATTTTCTCATTTTCTTGGTTTGTGTTGTAAGCCATAAAGATATAGAATTTATAATCATAAATCTATCCAAACAAAGTTATTAGCTCAAAATGTTACCTCTTTAGCCTCCTCGTGATAATAGAAGCCACAAATGACTGGCATAGCAGCAGATTCGGGCATGCTTTTTCTTCTTCTTGTTGTTGTTGGTACTGTGGAAGCTATAGATGTAGTGTTTATATCCTCCATATCCAATGCGAAGATAAAGGCATACAGAACTCAAAGTCTCAAACTTCAAAACATATCATATATGACTGCATTCAAGTTATCCAAGTATTCGCGTGTACCAGTACATTTAATGATCTGCTGTAGGACTGTCACACAAAGGCGAAAGCAAAACATAGATCAATCTGCTCATCAATAGCTGGAAAATGAACAGGCAACAGTCAAGAACCGATTAGCACTTTTTATTGCAGTTCTGCCCATCGGAGAGGAACAATTTATTATATTGTTGAATATTCCAGATAATTAAGAGTCAAAGTCCGAGTCGTTGGGATTCCCAAAGACTTTCCAAGAATCACACTTCCTTTCCGAGTTAGAATTCTACAAAAAGCGGCCTAATTCACGTTGAAATAATCCTCCAATATGTTGAAATCAGAAGAAAGGCACATAAATTATAAACAAAAATATTGCAGTGCGCACGAGATGCCACTTTTCCTCTTTTCAAGTTATATGTGTCAACTTTGATGTATCCTT